AGAGAGAGAGAGAGAGAGAGAGAGAGAGAGAGAGAGAGAGATACAGTTTTCATAATATTACGATCAAATAAAAAACCTTTAATTAGAACAGTATATGAGAAAATAATTTTCTTTAAAAATAAAATTATTCAAAAACTCATGATTATTCTTCGTTCATCTTTTATAATCATAGGCTATATGTATTATTCGCATGCGTATGTCATAAAAATAATACAGTTTTCTGATATGCGCAACTAATAAAGAAAATAATTTATTATGTAATGCAAGCTGTGTGTATAATTTGTCCAAAGGAATTACAGAAAAACTACAAAGTTTCTTGCTTGTAAAAAGTTAAGAAACACATATAACATATGTTTTATATTTTTTAGATCATATCATATAATAGCACAGAGCAACTTGTATTACAACTGATATACATAAGTGTCCTTTACATGTACATGTTTTTGTCCAATTATACCGCACAAGATATTACAGATCACAATGAATATGTATTTGCTACAGTGTAAGAGATATTTGCATCATACCTTCATACTTAAGTAATTGTTTTAAATACTTGTAACAAAAAGCTGAGTTAGCAAAAACATTCAAAAATAATACTATTCCTTGAACGAATATACTGTAACTATACTAAATAAATATTTTTATTTTTTCATGTTAGGTTTTACATTAATTTATCATTGCTTTGTAGATATAATGTTGAATGGTATGTAGCTCCGTTACACATACAGAAAATGATGTTATTTCTACTGCAAAAGGGTACAAAAGCTTTTCATTTGATCCTCGGTGGAATATTCATTGCGTCTATGGAAAGTGCTGCTACGGTAAGAGACATACTCGTATACAAACCTTTTGTTCCCCGCGAATATTATTGTTTAATCGAAAATAATAACATTCACAGCCATTCAACATTTTGACTACTTTAGAATAATTTAGATAATTCACTAAAGTAGTTCTATTAAAATAAGTTGAGAATAAAATGTAATTTAACTAAGCTAAAAAAAATAGAATAGAGAACAAAGTTTTTTAACAAAAACTGTTGAATCGGTACTATATATTCATATGATGTGTTGCACTCAAAAATATTATACAATAAATCAACTTTCCTTATTTGAAAAGCTATAGATGCATTAATCCGAAAGAATTGATGATTTAAATAAAAAGGTGGAAATCGCCTATATTACACTATTCAACGTTTAAATAGAATGGTAACAAAAACACTGCAGAGATCAGAACATTTCTATAATTATATTAAATTTGAAATTATACTAAATTATATTAAATTTTGGTTCATTGAAAATAAAACGATACTTTTACAAAAATAAGCATAAAATATTTGTTTAGATTACAATTTTTTTTAAAAAGTATCTTTCAATAAGATTTGGAGACAGAATCGTTAAATTGTATCATTAAATTCCTAAATCATACCGGCGACCAGAGACGGAGAACAAGAATGTGTCGAACCCTCCGCAATCGTTAAATACATATATGTGCGAAAGATTCCTGCTCCCCTCCCTCCTGATCAGACACCAAACATAATCAATTTTAAATGTCGCTCGTAAACAGACGGCTCAAAGACAAAACAAAAATGACAGTTCTTAAGCCATGTTACTAGCATCACATCCGTGTCATTACCTTTAAAATAATGTTTCGTTTAGAAAATACAAAGGAGATATAATTTAATCGTCGACACGACTTATCCAACTCCACCCTATTGTCCTATTATTTTAACAAACATTTTCCACACAGCTTCAATATAGCTTCTTACAGAATGAAACAAAAAAAGATATTTTATTTTTTACCATTACAGTTGATGGGTACTTCAATATCTTACTTCACTGTTCTCTATTCTACAAGTACGAAATAATATAATAATTGCAAAATTAAGATAGGTATGTATAAATGTGAAAAAGATGTGAGAAAATAAGAGAGGGGAAGAAAAAAAGGTAAAGAAATGTAAACTAATTTGACCAAAATCGTGTAGCTCTCGGTTTTAGGTGTCGCTTCCTGTAAGTATTATTTCGACAGGAGGAATAAAAATTATTACTTAAATACAAAAATTGACATATTATAATTTATAAAAAAATGTAGAATATAAGTTGACATTATACGTTACCAATAATTCACAAGAATGGAATATATTATGTTAGAAGAGGTCGAATCGCGTCTGCGTAGTCGATTATCAAATGATTCCCTCACACGAACGAAGTATGTATTTCTTTATGAAAAATAAACACCTATTGCATTATTACTGTAATCAAATTGATCACTTAATCATACACCTCTTCTAAAATAAAAATGTGAATCACAATCATGTGTTTTTTGTATCTGACAATAATATTTCGTTTTGCGTTGCATTTAAATTATGTGGTGAAATTAATTCCTGCCGCTCGCTCCTAGAGGCTGCTGGCGAGTTTCAACGGGAAAATCATGGCCGGTATTCATAGGCCGGTATTCATAATCAGATTTTATATTCAAGACCATCTTAAGTATGGTCTTAAGAAGTCACGAACTAATCAGAAAGCTACATTAACGTCTTAAGACATTACTTAAGACGGTCTTGAAATAATACTCGACTATGAATACTGGCCTTAATTTCAAGACCGTCTCAAGCAATGTCTTAAGATGGTAGTACGGCTCTTTGATTGGTTCATGAAATCTCAAGCACTAGCTTAAAATCATCTTGAATCTTGAGCAATGTCTATAGATTCCGTCCATGTTTTTAAACATCACTGAAAGTGATTTCAATCCTCACAGATTAGATTTCTCGACGCTAAAGAAATTTTCCAATCGATTGAAAATGAACAGCGATAAGCTGTTTTTCCGACATGAGCTTCTTCACTACTTCGACCTCAAGAAAACCGCAGCTGAAATGCATCGCTTATTATCCGAGGTATATGGTGATAAAACTCCATCGGAAAGAACATATAGAGTTTGGTTTGAACGTTTCCGAAACGGTGATTTTGACGTGAGAGACAACGAATGTCCAGGACAGCTGAAAAGATTTAAAGATGTCGATAAAGATTTAAAGCTGCAAGAATTGCTCGATGAGAAAGCTAGCTCAAATGCTTCTAGAGTTATCGAAAGCGTTAACTATTACTCTAAAGATCGTCTCAAAACGCTTGCATACCATGGGAAAGATTCATAAGAAAGAGAGATGCCTATCACATGAGTTGTAAAAAAATGCCATTGTGAATCGTTTGTCTATCGCGACTTCTTTGCTTGCCAGGCAAAGAAAAAAGAGTTTTTTGTGACGCATTGTGACTAGCGACGAAAAATAAATTTATTTTGATAATCCCAAGCGGAAAAAATCATAGGCGGACGCCGGCGAACCATCCGCTACAACGCGGAAGAAGATTATTCACGGGCATAAGACCTTGCCCTGCATTTGATAAGACCAGGAGGATGTGCTGTATTATGAGCTCTTGCGTCCAAATGAAACCGTTAGGACCATTCCACACAAACTTGCATAACCGCATAAACATGGAATGGCTCTTACAGCTAATCGCTACAAACAGCAATTATGCCGATTGAATGACGAATTGATGCAAAAAAGATCATTCGTAGCTAACAATCGACAAAAATTTATCATTCAATCATTTTGTTGCATGATAACGCTAGATTTTCGCATGTTGCGAAAAGCGTGAAGCAGACACTTTTACAATTTGAATGGGAAATCCTCTCACATCCAGCGTACTCTCCAGACTTGGCACCGTCGGGTTACTATCTCTTCCAATCTATGCAACACGCACTTACGGACACACACTTCTCCAGTTACCCAAAAATAGGTGGATGAATGAATCGCCTCGAAAGACACCGCGTTCTACCGTCGTGGGATGGCTTTGTTGCCGGAGAAATACGGAAAAAGTAGTAGAAAATGGAGAAAATTACTTTGATTAAGATATTCATTCATTTTCTCTTCAAAACAAATCAATTTTGGAAACAAAAAACGGCAGGAATTAAGTTTATCACTTCAATTAGGCAATTCAACTTAAAATTTATCTATATAAAAAATATTTCATTGCATTTAAAATATCTTATTAGTTTTAACTACATGATTAAACAATTCAATGATTTTCACATAATAAATAAAATATTAAGTTCCAATTTGTATGTATCCGATTTAAATAATGCAACAAGATGTATCAGAAAGGACAACAGATTTCTCATATTACTATAATCTTTTTATTTACGGCAATTTATTAGTTAATGTTATCGAAGATATAACATTATAATAATATATATTATAATAAAAATATTAAAAAATTTAATTTGAATTCATATAAAATTTAATTTTTCTTTTAATTTTGTACATTAATTATTACACTAATTTTAGTATAATATAATGTATACAATTATTTTTTACAACTTAGAATATTTATAACTCTAAAATCCAAATTTACTTAACATTTTCTTTTTATATTTGTTTCCGCTAAAAAAAGTTTTGAAGGATTCACTTGCGCGCAAATGTGAAGACACTGAAAATGTGAAGACACTGAAAATGTGACGAAAGTACTGAAAGACCTGTCGAAAAATGATTTTCAGGAATACTGAGAAATGTATGTAGCTATCCAAGAGGACTACTTTAAATAAAATGTTGTTTAAATAACCTATATAAAAAGATTAAAATTATTGACGGTGTAAAATTAAACTTATTTTCCATTTGATGCAAAAGGTGGTGTAAAGTATAGATTTTATTTCAAATATATGGAATAATACATATATGTATATAATACAATAAAAAATTTAGAATATTATATGGAATAGAATATATTTACCTGGAAAATAATATAACTTATTAGAATTCGAAAGTACAAGATTGTCTGAATTCGAACGAGATTTGATTGATAATACTCTCTCTGTTAGAGAGAGAGTCGCGCTTTTCACCTTTCAGCTTTTTTTTAGCTCTGTTAGAAAATAAGTGCATTTCTATGAGAAATAAATATCCGTGCAATTTCTTATATTATTGATCGCTTAATTGCTGAAAGCTCTTCTTAGAAAAAAGTTATTGGATTTCCATTTTCCTGACAGAAACTATTTTTCGCAACTTTAAATTAAATTAGATAATTTACAATGCAATTTACGGAAAAATGAAAGTTATAAGGCCGAAGGAGGGGATACGCAAACTCTCGCTGACTTTCGCAGTCAAGTTTCTATCGTCATAGAGTGATGATCTCTATCGAGTCTAAATATTTTCACCTCAATCGGATTCTCTTACTCGCTCTTGGTCTATGGCCTTATTCTCAATCAAATCTCGTTCGAATTCAGACAATCTTGTACTTTGGAATTCTAATAAGTTATATTATTTTCCAGGTAAATATATTCTATTCCATATAATATTCTAAATTTTTTATTGTATTATATATATATATGTATTATTCCATATAGATTTAATTATATTTAATTATACATTATAAATTTTTTTTAAATAAATAATTATAATAACTCAGTTTCTTAAAATTTCTAATATTAATATCGTGATATGTACTTACTATCTTATAATTTCAATTATAAAACTTTCATTATATTATTTGTCACTACAAAGGAGCTGGCCATTTTAAACTTATAATTTGCTAATTAATTAAGGAAATAATTTCGAGATCTCTTCAAATTTATCTATTACAGCTTGCAACATTTCTGACTGCAGAATGCACTCCTAAACTCATAATAAAAGTGCTTTCTACTGTAATATTTTGTATTATGTACATCATAAATTATAACGCATTTTGGATAAATACCGATAATGTAAGCTGTATCAATGTTACATACTTAAAAAATGCACTTCATAAATAAATTCCAATGACAATGTATTCAAGTTTTATAATAACAAACGCGTTATTATAACAGGTAAAATGTTTAATGGAACGACTGCAGCAAATATGTAATGAGTTAAAGGACGAAAATGAGCTCAATATCATGAAAGAGTACGGAAACAACGTAAAACGTTATACAACTATATTCTTATGTAAGACAACATAATAATGTGAATATATATATTAATGTGAATATATATATTAATGTAAATATATATATATATAT